TAGTACACTATATAAAGCAGAAAATCTACTCGACTATAGACCCACTACATTCCAAGCTAAACCTACAGATTTGAAGAGGAACAATGCAAATCATCCGATAACTTCTGAAATAAAGAATAACCATACTTTTCAGAGCTGTTTCTTTCTTAGTTCTCTGACTTCGTCAGTTTCTGGCGGATCCAAAAGATGACCCTCCATATAGTGTTTTGCAAAAAGTCGCCCCTTTCTGCGCACTGGTTCTGCTTGAGGGATTGCACACAGCCAGCGCTGAGCCATTGCAAATCCTGCGGCTGTCACCACTAAAACAAGATGGAACATAAATTCCGCACTTGAGTTGAAATAAGGTCACCTTGTACCGCAACGCGAACAACATTTGGCAGCGTAGCATTTATAGTTTCGTAATATAACATCTCCATTAGCATGTTCAGGATGTATAAAATTGTAACGCTAATATGGCAGGCGTGCAGAGCGCTGGATTCAAAGAAACCAAGAAGAAACAACCTAAAGAAGCCACTCCTTGAACCTAAATTATCTTAGAAATTTCTTACATACCTAACTACACACATAACTGCAATAGCCACAGAATGTTGCCTTGCAACAACAGCGGGTACGCCGTTTTTGAACAACTGTGCAACCTGTCCCGTGTAGCACATCCATATCGCGCCAATATCTTGCAGAAGTACGAACGATAGCCATGCTCTGCTACAACGGCTAAGCGAGCTCATCTGCAAGAGGCAACAGCAATAAATAATGGCGGAAGAATGAAGGGAATCGAAAAAATTGTCTGTTCGTGGATCTTACATATAAAGCTGTCAGTTGTATATATGTCTGTGCGTATATGTGCCTGTACATATGTTCCAAATAAGAATTTTTATTTGTGAACCAATCCGGACCAAGCTTTACATACATATTCCTCGCGGCGGGGCAGATGCCATAGACTACTTCTCGTTGCGTATCGATATCAATTTTGTCTATTTTTTGCAAAGTGTGGGCTAAGAGGCTGAGAGATGGCAAAGGGCGGTAAGTGAGCATCCTGATTACCGGTATATTATTGACAGGGCAGGGCAAAGTAGGGTTTGCCACCTAGTATGTTCAAAAATCACGCTTGAACACGACTTGCCCAAGCAAGGAAGAAAACCAAATAGAAGCGCAAGGAATTCCTCATCTGCGTCCCCCGTCACCTCTTCAGAAAACCTGCGAGCAGCGTCGGCGAAAGTTACTACTTTTCCCAGTTATCCGGACAAAAAGTGATTTTGAAATTTTGTGCTTCCCGGGCCTATTCGCTATGCTGAATCCGA